ACTTCTATATGAGGTATCGATACCAAAAATAGCCTCGATGTTTTCAAATATTACCAGTATCGATACCCCTACTGGGAGTATCGATACTCGTCCCTCGATATTGATACTCCTTTGAGTATCAATACCAAAATCGGCTACAATAATTCTAAACTTGAAAATTGTATCGATACTACCCCTTGAGTATCGATACCTAGAGATTAGTATTGATACCTCTTAAATGAGTATTGATACTCTAGACCTAAACAACTTATGAAATTTAACTATACAAGGGATAATATCAGTATTGCTCATCCAGTACCGATACCCTAACCCAAAAATGCTCGGGTTTGGGCACGAAAATGCCACCTAACACTACCCATTTTCCCCTTAAGGCAATCAAATGATGTTTAAGTCTTATGTAAGTATACAAAGGTCATTAAGAGTCATTTTGCATGCTTAAAAACACTTCAACCTAGAATTTCCCATTGGCATGCTGATATGTTTCATAACTAATGCAAGCTAAGAAAGGCAACTAGAAGGTCCGAAAGTGGTATATGAAGGTTAGTAATTTATTACTTTATCTTCTTAGCTACTGGAAACGTCTTCAATCACCCAAGAACCAACTTACCTTTGTCCTTGGATTTGGAGCTTTCTCCAATCTCTTTCACTAATATAGCATGAGAAAATGAGTTACCAACTCTTCTAAAGGCTTAAAAAGATTACAAATATAGTTTCAAACCCCTAAAAATGGATTTGGAACATTAATGAACCTTAAAACCCAAAATTCACTTTAAACCTACATCTAAGGCTGTTCATGGCCAAAACTTAAAATTAGAGGTTTGGGTGAAAGTTTAGGATACTGGGATTATGATAATTACCTTAGAAATTTTCAAAATAAGATTGCAAAATTATAAAGTTTCCACTTTTTCTAAGTTTATTGAAGGAAGAAGATGGAGAAGAAGAGAATAGGTACAAGACAAGAGACTTATTAAAATGAGGGAGATAGGGGGAGTGGTTCAGCCAAATTATATCACCCTCATTAAACAAAATCAACTTTTATTTGAAAAGAGGGTATAATTTCCCCTTTAGTCTTTCAACTCCTACCCCAATAACAAAAAGCCCTTTTTTTGGCACTATTTGGGCCAATCTAAGCCCAAGTCCGTTTTTAGTTTGTTCTAAGCTTTTCTATAAATCTAGTGGGTTATTTATATAGTTTCGGGTTAGCCTGGAACTACAGAATTTGGGGTGTTAGAATCCCTCACATGAATGAAGTTGATGGTTTAAAACATTGACTCAATATGATGATAGATTCTACTTTCGATATTTACATAAGATAGACATGTGTCCCCCTTTGAACCTTCCTTTTGAACCTTATTGGCTGTCTAATAGATGTGATATACTTGAATTGTCCTTCCGTTTGTGTAAGTGATGTCATACCTAACAGAACTATTTTTGTGATAAGAATTTGGTTATAATGGTTATGTCCATATAGTTGTGGACATCTTCGTGTTCTCCATACAATCATAGCAATGGTAAGTAGGTTTTCCCATTGAACCTAGATCTTGGGATCTCCTATCAACTAGGTTGGGTTTTCCTTCGTATAAAACCTTAACAATTCATGGGCTTTAGTCTCACTCCTCTTGATGTTTTATCAAATTGATCTCAATCCAATCCTTTGGTTAACGGATCTGAAATGTTATCTTTTTTATCTTACAAAATAAATAGAGCTAACTCTAGTTGAGGCCAGTTATTTAATGGTATTATGTCAATGAACGCATGTGTCTTGACTTACCATTATACATTTTATTATGTACTCTACCAATTATTGCTTGGTTATCACAATATATGCATATTTTGGGTACATGCTTTGGCCATTCAAGAATATTCTCCAAAAAATTTCTTCACCATTCTACCTCTTCTCCATATTTATTTAGGATTACAAACTCAGATTTCATCATAGATATGGTTATAATTGTTTGTCTTGAGGATTTTCATACTACATCTCCTCCTCCCAATGTAAAAATATAATCACTTGTACCTTTGGTATCTTGAATATCATATATGTAATTGGCAAAAAAAACCTTTCTAACATATCATGATCTCTAGAATAATGCAATTCATAGTCTCTAGTATATATGAGATGTCATAATACTCTTACAATCACTTTCCAATGGTTCTTCCCTGAATTACTTGTGAATTTGCTTAAACTGTTTAAAGTGAAAGCAATATTAGGTTTAGTGCAACTCATAAGATAAACTAGACTGCCTATTGTCCTTGCATATTTCATTTGGTTAATACTTTCACCTTTATTTTTAGAAATATGTTAACTTTTATCTATAAGAGTTTTGGCTACACCATAATAATCTTTTCTAAAATTTTCTAGAATCTTGTATACATAGTGTGACTGAGTCAATATAACACATTTATATGACCTTTCGATTTGCATGCCCAAAATCATGTCAACAACTTCTATATTTTTCATGTCAAATTTTGAATTTAACATGTGTTTGGTACAATTTATCATTTCATTATTACTTTCAACGATGAGTATGTTGTCAACATATATGCATAAGATTACATATTCATCAACATTGGTTTTGACATACTCACATTTGTCACACTTATTAATTTGAAATCCAGTTGATATCATGACACTGTCAAACTTTTCATGCTAGTGTTTTGATGCTAACTTAAGTCCATATAATGACTTCACCAACCTATATACTTTCTTTTCTTGTCCTGGAGCTACGTACCCCTTAGGTCATTCCATTTAAATTTCCTCATCAAGGTATCCATTAAGGAAAATGGTCTTAACATCCATTTAATGTGCTTATAAATTACATAAAGCGACAATTGCAAGTATTATTCTTATAGAAGTTATTCTTAATACAAACAAATACGTATCAAAGTAATCAAAACCTTCCTTTTGTTAGTAACCTCTTATAACCAACTTGTCCTTGTACTTATCAATTGCTCTATTTGCTTTCATTTTTCGTCTGAAAATCCATTTAGCATTTAATGGTTTAATTTCATGAGGAAAATCCACTAATTCCCACATATGATTTTGCATGATGGAATCAGTTTCACTCTTGATAGAATCTTTCCAAAAAGTACTTTTAGATAAGTGAATAACTTCACTATAAGTTAGAGGTTCAGTCTCAAGTATTTAGGTTAATGATAGCTTTCCAAAAAAGTTATCTTTAGTAGCCTTTCTCAGCTAGGTTTAGTTTGAACTCAAAGTATTTTTTAGGAGCGTTTTAGATCAGATTTGTTTATTTTTATATATTTTTCATATTGATAATTTAGTGGGTTGTGTAAGGCTGAATTTGAATTTTGTTGTTGTAAAATTGTTACACTGATGATGTAGCATTACAAGAGATCCTGAGTTGATACTATAGCAGCCAATGAATCACCAGACGGTTAAGAGAACCTTCTGGATGGAATAGTTGGCTCGGGCAGCTATCAATGGGCTAGAAATCAACTGAAACATGGAGGCAATCTATTGGAGGATGAAATTTCCTCAAGATTATAAATGGGAGTAGTTTGCAAAGCTGAGAGTAGATTTTTTTCTACACCATTAAAAGTAAAACCTCCACGTTATTCCTTCGTACACCATGGAAGTTTAAGCCCCTTCCAGGGATTGCTGCAACATAAGGAGAGCTCGCTGAGTAGCATCGACAGTCAGCAAATCATCATTCGAATCCTACTATTGAGGGAGAGAGTGACATTGAACATTTCTAAACTTTATGGACGATATTTTGGATTGATTATTTTCTGTTTGTATTGCTACTACTTTTATGTGTTATTTGTTTCATGATTATTAGTAAAAATATTAGTGATTAAACGTATTGTTTTTCAATTATTTTCTAGAAATATATTTGATTGATTAGCTGTGTATTTTTATAAGATTGGTTTTAATGAGTAGCAATGTGTATGTTGAAAAGTGTACATCCAAGTGTTTATCTTTGTTAATTCTCTGGATCCTTTAATTAATGATAGTTTATAAGAGTAGTTCAAAGGGTTTTGATCATTGCTAATCGCATAAAGGTAGTATAATTTGCTTACTTAAAGTATGATTTGCATTACATCGCTCCACACAATTTGATAGCTGATTTGACACTCTCTATAGTGCTGTAGCATGACATGTTTTTTTATACTTTGATTTTTATCTCAATTAAATAACATCTTTTACATACCCATAATTTCTTTAAAATTAGACTTTAATGAAGATCAATTTTCTCCATGTGGAAATGGTACTTGTAGCTCTTTGAGCTACCACTTATTTTTTGGTCATTGGTGTATACTTGCACTTAAGCTATAGCATTTAGTACGCATCAAGTTTTTGGCACCATTGCCAAGGAGCATCGGTTGGATTTGTAGTTTTCTTTAATTTTCTCATTTTGTTATTTTGTGTTGTAGATATTTTTTAGCTTTCATTTCTACTAGTTTATTCCCCACAGTGACATTGATTTAAAGCCGTTTAATCCAAAAATTGAGAAGACTTTTAGGAGAAGTCGCCACGAAGCTGCAAGGAATCGAACAACTATGGCCATACGAAGGAATAATATTTTACCCCATTGTAGAATGGAGAGGATATTGAGTTGCTCGCTGGAAATGGAGCAGGATAACCATTTATAATATGAATAATTGTAACCGACCTATCCGAGAACATGAAGTGCTAAAGCTAAATGATTGGCATCCGAGCATAGTGAGGCCAATGATTAATACTTCATACTTTGAGTTGAAACCATTCATGTTCCAAATGCTACAATCTATGGGACAATATGGAGGATATGTTGCTGAAGATCCTAGGGCTCATTTGAGAGTGTTCATGGAGTTTTGTGATTCGTTTATTCAGTAAGGTGTTATGGAGGAAGCATTAAAGTTAAAGTTATTTCCCTATTTGTTGCGTGATAAAGCAAGAGCTTAGTTGAGTTCATTGGCACCAGGTTCTATAGTTTCCTGGAATAAGTTAGCACATATATTTTTTTCTGTGATTTAACCCATCAAACATGAATGCCAAACTCCTAAATGTTCTTAATTCATTCAAGAAAATGAAGGATAAAAGCTTGTATGAAGCATGTTAAAGATTCAAGGATTTATTGTGGAAATGTCCTATGCATGGGTTTTCACATTGAACTCAAATGAAGATATTTTACAATGGGTTATACATACACACTTGTATGGTGGTTGATGCTTCAAAAAACATAGCTTTATTAGATAAGACGTATAATTAACCTTATGATATTCTAGAGAGGATCTCAAGTAATGATTGACAATACCCTAATACGAGGAATATGTTTAGCCGACGGAATGATGCAACAATAGATTCTGAAGCTTTCAACTCTATGACATCTCAGATTTCAACATTGGTGGATATGGTGAAGAAGTTGTAAAAACCTGGGGGAATGTACGAGGTTAAGGTTCCATCTATTATCACTTTGTGTTTATTGTGGATATAATCATTGGACGAATTATTGGACGTTGATTTCAAGGTCGAGAGTGATCAAATGGAGATTAAATGTTTGATCGGTGGAGAACAAAAATTGAGGTAATACTCTACTACCTTTTGCATACTTTTCGGAACACATTGATAATTAGTAAATGCATGGATGAAAATAATTAGTCCATTAGATGTAGTTAATTATCATTGGACTCAAATTAAATTTGGAATAAAGATGGAATACTGTAAAAGACTCAGACGACTTGTAAAAGAAATTACTAGACCGATCGAAAACAATTCTAAGTTCAGCAATTTAATCAGTAATCAATCAATCTCTGGACTCATAAATTCTGATTAATCTCGATAAAGGTTAAATGTTGGAAATATTGGAGAAGAAATTTCCAAAACTAGAACACTTTTAAGCCTAAGTTATTGGAAGTAATGCAACTGGCAGAATTGAATGAAATGACGATAATACCCTTAAAGTGTAAAAAGGAATATGGATGACTATGATAATAGAGATGACCTAAGAACTTATCATGATCCATTGGAATCATGGAATCACCAATTAAACTACTTATTTATTTGAAATGCCCTGAAGTGTAATATGATTCAAAACACGCCCAAGCCCTAGAATAACTAATATCCTCAGCTCTGAAATAAACAAATCAACCTCATATACCAATATGACTATATTATATGACCAAGTTAAATAGAATGGTAGTACAATATGTATTCGAATTTCAAAAATGATAGAATTACTCTAGAAACTTCGAAGTGACTGGATAGACTTGACTACTAAATGACCTAAGTACCCCGATGACCTTGAGTTAAGTGAATAACTTGGATAAGTCTGGAAACACTGATAATTCTATATGTTGTACTGTCCATAATGGTTTGGAACCACAAATCAAGCACGTTAACATTTCCTAATAACGTGTAATGCCGAATTGGAATAAAGACCTTTGGAATACCTGTTCGTTTCTGAAATATCTATTACGCGATGATTATGAAGATGATAAATTCGATAAGAATTGTCTGTATTAAAAAGTGAATACTCTTGAAGTTAAATGATTTGACCAGTTGGCAGATATCAGTGTTGGGATTTGTTTAATACAAGTTAAATCGATATTCCGATAGATCAATACAAATCATAAATGCTCTGAATCTTCGTTTCTCCCATATTAGTTCAAATCACTAAGAATTCTCCAATAATCTAATGCCTAAAAATGCCTCTGATTTCCTGGATAATGAAATTACTCATGTCATATCTGAAAACATGAGTAACTCTGATGCAAAGGATTCTGAATACCCTTTTTGATTATATAGTGCCTCCTAAAATATACGAATACTAAATGATCATGGTAAATCAAGTTCTGAATAACTGATGAACCTGTCAACTATCAAACCCTTTTATGGGGATCTCATTTATGAATTTAATTAATTTAAAAAGTTTTATGACTCTCTATTTCATAAATACCAATCACCTCCGAATAATATCTAGAACCTCTAGTGTGTTCCCTGATCATCATGGATGTTTTCCCTTATTTTAAAAGTATGACTCTATTATCCGAAATACAATATGATCTCTGATTTTTGCTTTGATTACATATATCTCTATTTTATTGACTGAAATTATTTTTATACGGGGTACCTGGGACTTTGGTATGACTAAAGACACTGGCAGGTTCAGTCGTTGTTGGTAATTCTTTGTATAGGTTCAGCACCGACCGATAATTCCTTATGGACTTAAGATGACTCTTGGTTGGACTCCTGGGCCTAATGGTGCTAGTGGTAAGACCTTGTGGTCACTAAGGAACTCCCTTAGGGATGACACCACTGCTATTTGCTTTTGGGTAAGACCTTATGGACCTGAGGACATTTATCTCAGGTGGGCACCTATGCTTTAGCTAGTGTAAGACCTTATGGACCCAAGGTGCTCCCTTAGGTTGGCCTTATGCCTTTTTGGGCCTCGGGTAAGTCCTTATGGATGCAGTTCTAGGTAACTGCATATGGTTTGGTTGGAGGTTTTACTATGTTTTTTAAAAATAAGTTTTAAAATACTATTGTTTTAAAAAGATCTGTATATTTTCATTGGATTTATGGGAACACACTAGACACCATGTTCTGATATCCTGAACCCAGCCCTTCGAACATTTACTCTGAACGAAAAGTTTCATGCCTTTTAGGACCTGAAATATCCATTGAACATCAAATCATTCCGAAAACATGTATATGTTTGGATCAATAAGAAAGTTTTAAAGCTTGCCTATTATATGTATGTTTTTCAGTATCTTCTGGTAGTTCTGTATTACTGAGCTTCCCAAAGCTCACTCTGTTACTCACCTTTTCAGGTTAAAAGAATTGAACATGTTCAACTATCGATGACAGTAAAGGAGTTTTGCCGGTGTTTCTTGCAAAGTACTGTGCATGTGATTAGGGGGCATGTAGGTTGTATTATATTTTATATACGAGTCTGAATTCTGTTTTATTTTTTAATATTGATAAGTTTTACTTTTTTATTTATAAATTGTTTTATAATTTTATGCATTTTAACAGAAATTTTAAAATTTTCGAGATTTTTATGGTGAGTCGCTTCGGTGGCTCTAATGTGACTCATCGGATCGGATCAGGTCACCCTTATCAGTCTGTGAGTATTACAAAAACATTAAATGATGCTCAGGTCAATTATACGATAACTGAAAAGGAGTTGTTTTCTATGGTATTTGCCTTTGACAAGTTTTATTCTTACTTGGTGGGAACCAAAGTAATTGTCTATACTGACCACTCAACGTTGAAGCATTTATTTTCCAAGAAGGATACAAAGCCTAAATTGATTTGATGGGTGATCTTACTCTAAGAATTTTATATTGAGATTCGGGATAAGAAATTATCTAAAATTTAAATGGTTGATCACCTATCTAGATTAGAATATGGTAGCGAAGATGGAAGCATTCTAGTAATTCTGGAAGATTTTCCTGATAAGAGACTACCTGCTGCTACAACATTACCCTGGTATGCTGACTTGGCTAATTATATAATTAGTGGGACGATGCCATCCAATATTAACTATCAAGGAAGAAAAAAAATTCATAATGGATGTAACACAGTATCATTGGGAAGAGTCATATTTATTCAAACAATATAATGATCAAATCTTACGGCAATGTATTCCTGACTGTGAACAGCAAATCATTCTACAACATTACAACAATGCCCCTTATGAAGGCCATTTTGGTGGTATGCGTACAATAGAGAAAGTGCTCCAATGTGGTTATTATTGGCCATCACTATTCAAACATGTTAATGAATATGTAAAGCACTGTGTTCGCTACCAAAGAACGAGTAATATTTCTCAATGAAATGAAATGATAATGTAACCTTCTTGTGGCAACCTTTTAATTTTAGTTGTTGTTGACTACATCTCCAAATGGGTGGAAGTTATAGCTTTGCCAACCAACAATGCTGAAGAAATGTTGTGATTCTTGCAAAAAAAATATTTTCACTCTCTTTAGAACACCACAAACATTTATCATCAATGAATCATCTTAGTTCATTGGAAACCATGTTGTTAGAGCAGTGCACTGTTATGGTGTGAAGCATAAGATAGCTATAACATATCATCCGCAGACCAATGGCCAAACTGAGATATCCAATCGGGAAATTAAACAAATCCTTAAGAAGGTTGTGAATCATTTTAGAAAAGATTAGTCATAACGCCTTAAAGAAGCATTATGGGCTTATAGGACTGCTTATAAGATTTCATTGGGGATGTATCCTTATTATCTTATTTATAACTAATCTTGTCATCTACCTGTGGAGCTAGAGCATAAGGTTATGTGGGCTTTGAAGAAGCTAAATTTTGACTTAGATGCTGGAGGAAAAAACTAATGCTAGAGCTTAATGAGCTAGAGGAGCTTCGAAACAATGCCTATGAGATTTTACAAAGATAAAAGTAAAAAGTGGCATGACCGATATATTTTACCACGGGAATTTATCGCTGGACAACAAGTGAAGTTATTTAATTTGAGATTAAAATGATTTCCAGGGAAGTTGTGATCTCGTTGGTCATGTCCTTTTGAAGTACTTGAAGTTTTCCCTTATAGTGTTGTGTTACTAAAGAACTTGGTGGATCAAAGCTCATTTAAAGTCAATAGACAGCGTTTAAACCATTATTTCCGGCAACAAAACCCTAGCATTACTTTAATCACTCTCAGTGTTCCTTCTCCTTTTTAATTTATTCGCATTTCAAATAAGTCAGCCTCTTTGTCATGTGTTTTTCTTAATTTTTATTTTGTTTTATTTGTACAGAATTTTTGATGTTACATTCATTATCTTACCCACACTCGGAGAATTGATCTTAGTTGTGCAGCATTTGTTGAACTGGAAAACGTCCAATGCTACTCTTGACGCTATAACAGTAACCAGCTAAATACATTTCATTTACGGTAAAAGAAATTGTGAGTTGTAAACCATTATTACCCCCTCAATTTTTAACCGTCCACCTTAGTCAATCGTAGTTGTTCATTTAAAAACTTTATCTCCACTCGTACATTTTAAATTTTAAAATCTTTATCCATTCTTTCATGCTACCCCTTTTCTACTATTTACTTTACCCTTTTCTACCTTCACTTACATTCTTTATCTGTGACTCTTCGACAACTCCTTTTCTCAACTAAAACTTT